GCTCACTTGGTAGCCCAGGCTGGCCTCGAACTCACAGAGATCCGCCTGCCTCTGCCTCCCGAGTGCTGGGATTAAAGGCGTGCGCCACCAACGCCCGGCTGTTTTTTGTTTTTCAAGACAGGGTTTCTCTGTATAGCTTTCTGCCTTTCCTGGAACTCACTCTGTAGCCCAGGCTGGCCTTGAACTTGTAGAGATCTATCTGCCTGCCTCTGCCTCCCGAGTGCTGGGATTAAAGGCATGCACCACCACCGCCCGGCTTAATTTTTTTTAAAGCACACCTTTATTCAGAAAACATGTCTTCTAGTGGACTACATAAACAGTCACAAGTTTCCCCAACTAGCTAACAACCTCTTTCACAGACATCCTTTTGTTTCTTTCTCTCTCTCAAACATATAAATACATAGCTTTTATCCATCTTAAATTGTAGTGGGGAATTATTAGACAGTACATAAATTTTAAAACAGACATTGCAAAATACTGTTGTTCATAAGGCCACAATGATCTATCTGACGTTTTCCGTAAGCAGAATCCGATGTGCACAATTAGGGTCTCCTCGTTTTCTCTGCTGTGTAGTCGGCACTGGGATTGGCGGCTCTCATAGCAGGAGGCTCTCATAGCATTATCCTTCCATAACGGAACCACCATGGGCAATCTCAAAGAGCAAGATCTGCGGTCCACACACCAGCAGCACCTCTGCTCCTCGGCACTGCAGACCAAGGACTTCCGGTAGCTGCTGGGCAGCATGAACTTTATTTTCTCTCTTTCTTTCCTTTGGAGACAGGGTCTCACTATGTAACCCTGGGTGGCCTGAGCTCTCCAGCCTCTGTCATTCGAGTGTGGGATTAAAGACTGGGATTGTTCTTCCTATAACCAAGCTTGTCTTTGAATCTTATCTGCACGCTGCTTATATATCAGTGTGTTCTTGTCAATTATATTTAATTTTAACACAGCAGTCTGATGCCAAATGAACTTCTGGGTCCTCTTTGGGAGATCTTAGGATGCACAAGAGGTGTAAGAGTGGCCATGACACCAAACAGAATATGCTATCACCTCTGTAGGCAGTGACAACAAAGGCCATTGAAGCCACTATTGATCAAAATACCATAAACAACTGCTTTTGTTTCACTGAGATGCTTCCAAAAGCTGTACCTTAATATATAGTTATAGAGTTATAACATTAATATCATTTTAGGTTAATTATAATAGTAAGTTCAGAAGAAAAATTTTAGTGCCTTATTATAGTCTCAACTAAAAATTATATACATATATAGACTATAATGAAGTAATAAAAGTACTACAAGTTGAAAATAGCATTACACTGTTATTGGCACATGCCTCTAATCCTAGCACTCAAGAAACAGAAAGGAAGCCAGCCTTGGCCACACAACAAATGTGAGTACAGCCTCACCTATAAAGAAGTTTATCACTAAAACAAAAACCAGACTATTAAGGGTGAAGCTTGCCCATGTATTCCCTGACGGACAATAATAGGTATCAAATTACTATGGTATATATATTTTATGTTTAAAATAACCCAATGATTTTATCATATCAATAGTTACACACTAGAAATAATCACTTGTAACTACTAAGAAAGATGAAAAAACTTGAGTATCAATTAAAAACAAGTACAAAGTTCAGAACAAAGTTTTTAAAGGTTCTCCAGGGGAGGCTGGGGTATGGCGCACACCTTTAATCCTAGCACTTGGGAGGAAGAGGCAGGTGGATCTCTGAGTTCAAGGCCAGCCAGGAGCCAGGTCTACAGATCGAGTTCCAGGACAGGCTCCAAAACTATACAGAGAAATCCTGTCTCGAAAAACCAAAAAATAAATTAAAAAAAAAAAAAAGTTCTTCAGGGGACGCAGAATCTACATTAGAGAAAAGAACCTCGTTTTACCACTAACATTGTAAGTGGGATAAAATAATATACTAAATTTTAAGATAATCTGTAAACTCAAAGTTCTGGAAATTTAGATTAGAATTCTGCCAATTACTCAAACTAGTGAGTTTTGTTATAATCAGAACAGCATGTGAACCTGAGCATTCCTCAAAGACAGATTCCTGATCCCTATGAACTTTCCTTTCCGGTATTTATGATATGTCTCCTTTACCCACTAAGGGCGGAACATGTGACTATCCAACACAATGTAGCAGGTGAAAGGATGCCACACTATGTGTACACTATTTGTACATTATGTGCATAACTATTCCAAAAGTAACAGGTCATACTGGAGACTCTCAATTTACTCTGGCTTTGAAGAAGCAAGCTATGATGTCATAAGCTGCCCAAGCGGCATGAAAGTAAGGGTGGTCTCCAGCAGACAGCCAACTAGATAAAGAAACCTATAATCCTATAACTATAGGAACAGAATTCTGACAAAAAGTCTTGTAAGAATACAGTTCCTTATGTCTTTTTAGAGTCTTAAAAAACCTCTAAGATGCCAGGTGTGGTAGGTAGCACATGCCTTTAATTCCAGCACTCAGGAGGCAGAGGTAGGCAGATCTTAGTGAGTTGGAGACTAGTCTAGTCTACATAGGGAGTTTCTTCAAGGCCAGAACCACACATTCCTGTCTCATAAAAATTATAAAATAATAAATGTATGATGTTATAAGTAGTTAAAATTATGGAAACTTATTTTTCTTTTTAAAAATTGTTTTGTGCTGGGTGGTGGTGGTGGTGGAGGTGGTGGTGATGGTGGTGGTGGAGGTGACGCACTCCTTTAATCCTTTGGTGCACTTGGGAGGCAGAGGCTGGTGGATCTCTGTGAGTTGGAGGCCAGCCTGGTCTACAGAGTGAGATCCAGGACAGCCAGAGCTACACAGAGAAACCCTGTCTCAAGAAACAAAACAAAACAAACAAACAAAACAAGTTTGGTGTGCATGTATATATATCTCACAACATGTTTGTGGGGGTCAGAAGACAACTTCTGGGAACTCAGTTCTTTTCTCCCACTGCATTATTTCTGCCACAGGACTTCTACAAGAGCTTTCCTGCATAGCTTTGTAGTTTTGAGTTTCGGAGATTGAACTCACTTTTTTGTTTTTTTTTTGTTTTTTGTATTTTGTTTTTTGTTTTTTTTCCCTGGAGCCGAGGAACTCACATTTATTTTGTTTTCTGTTTTTTCCTGGAGCTGAGGAATGAACCCAGGGCTTTGTGCTTGCTAGGCAAGTGCTCTACCACTGAGCTGTAGTGGGTAGCCATTCCAGCTTGGATCTGGAAGTTCCAACCTCCATTGAGACTCTGGCAACTGTCAACTGTCACGCCTATGAGGCGGGGCCAGGGGAGGCGCCTGGAGACCCAAGAGCTGGATTGGCGAGTGCTTGCTCGGTTCCGGGACCCTGAATGGTGGAGGTGGACTTAGCAGAGCTCCAGAGGACACCGCTGGACTGTGATACACCTTCCCCAGACCCCGCGACCTACCTATCCCTTAATTTGTAAGTTACCCACTAAATAAATCTTCCTTTTAACTACGTGGAGTGGCCTTAATAATTTCACCAATAGTGAGCTAAATCCCCAACCCCTGAACTCACATTTTAAGGGTTTCTCAGCACACTGGTTTACCTATCTAAGCCTCTTGCTGGCCCAAGAATTTGTTATGTAGCTAAAGAAAGGGACTGAATGGGATCCCTCCCTCCCATCCCCCAAGACAGGGTTTGTCTGTGTATCCCTGGCTGTCCTGGAACTCACTCTGAGGTCCAGACTGGCCTCAGATCCACCTCTCTCTGCCTCCCTAGAGCTAGGATTAAAGGCATGTGCCACCACTGCCTGGCTAGGCTTGTATACGATTTAACTCTTGACTCAATTTTCTAAGTCAAAAGTCATTTGGAACATATAAGCTCAGAACTGAATTCTGTGACACTGAACCAATTTATAGTACTTAAATGTTTTCTACAGTAGAATTCAGTCAAGCCTAACTTCTCAGAAATTCTAAAGTAATAAAGACTAATCTGTAGCACACACAGAATATTCCTTTACCATAACACAGATAAATGGTACAATATCAATCTTTTCCAATACAAACAAGTTTATAATGAAGGAAATGGAGGCTGAAAGGTCAGGAGTTCAAGGTCACTACATAAGGCAATGTTTTAAATAAACAAAAATGTATAAGGAAAAGATTGGCATTCTTAAGGTTTTCCCCATATATAGCTCTATTATTCAAATTCTTTTTTTTTTTTTTTTTTTTTTTTTTTCAAGACAAGGTTTCTTTGTGTAACAGCCCTGGCTGTCCTGGAACTTACTTGGTGAACCAGGCTGGCCTTGAACTCACAGATATCCACCTGCCTCTGCCTCACAAGTGCTGGGATTAAAAGCCTGCATCACTACTATCCAGAAAATATTTCAAAACTTTTAACATGATTTATAAAAACAATTGCAGCTAGGGAGCAACCTGGTGTACTGATAAACGATCCTAAACTTATTGGACTCGACCAGCTCCTTGTTCAGCTAGAAAATATTCTGTTTAATGTTAAAATAATCTTTTTTATAATTTTAATGATTTATTTTATAAGTGTTCTGTCTGCATGTGTGTATGTACAATTAATTATGTGAGGGCAGTACTAGAGTACTAACAGGGCACTGGAACATCTGGAACTGGGTAAGGATAGTTGTAGGCCACTGTGTAGACAATGGGAAGGGAACCGGTCCTGTGCAAATAAAGTCAATGCTCTTATCTGCTGAGCCATCTCTCCAGACCCTTAAAGTAATTTTCATTCCTATAGGAAGCGCCATGAATTTTATTTACTACTGTACCAGAAGTTAAACAGCCCGACATATATAAAACTTCCCAAATAACTCTATGACTATGAACAGTAATAACTACTCTTCTCACCTGGAACCCATTCGACAGAGAGACTGGTACGATGAGGCAGGCATATACACAATAGCAGAATTATAGCACAGCATGAGGAAACTCAAGACTTCAAACCTAGAAAAATAACAAAAAGATCACAATTATGTATTTCAATCTGAAACCACAGTAACTTATTTACCTACTTAATGGTTATAACAATGCCTTAAGGTAAATCTTCATGTCTTTTTCTTAGTCAGGTTTCTGTAGGATTCTTCTCAGTAGTTTGCTTCCTTCTTATTATGAGCCATAGCCCTTTGCTGTCATCAGTATTTTCTTCTTAAAAAACAAATAAAGAGTGGACATGGTGCACACACCTTTAATCCCAGCACTCAGGAGGCAGGGGCAAGTGGATCTCTGTGAGTTCAAGGCCAGCCTGGTCTACAGAGCGAGTTCCAGGACAGCCAGGGCTATGTAGAAAGAGCCTGTCTCAAAAACAACAAAAAAAAATTTAAGGCTGGGTGTAGTGGAGTGCATCTTCAATCCCAGCACTGGAGGGCAGAGGCAGACCCATCTCTGTGAGTTTGAAGCCATCCTGGTCTACATAGTGAGTTTCAGGCCAGTCACAGCTACATAGTAAGACTCGGTCTCAAAAAAATAAAGAACCCCACCCCATCCCAACCCACAAACCAAAAATAACCAACCAACCAAACCAAACTAACCCCAAACCGCAAAACCAATGAAATCAAGGGGCTGGAGAGATGGCTCAGTACGAGCACCTGCTAGTCTTGTCAGTTGGTTCCCAGGACCCACGTGGCAGCTCACAACCACCTGCAACTCCAATTCCAGAGCTTCTGAGGTCCTGAAGAAACCGCAAGATGCTGGACAGCATTCCTAACCTGTATCCACCAGATACACAGAGCCCTCCTCCCTCCACCCAGCTATATCAATAAAATACATCTTCCATATTGACTGCTAAATGGTATATACAGGAGGTGGAGACCCCGGTTGAGAACCGTGGTTTAAAAGTCATTCATCTTGAAAAGGGGAAATGGAAGGGAGGAGGGATGGGAGACAGCAATTTTCATTAATGACCTGTGTGGAAGTAATGCATATTTAGTTTGGAGGTAAAACAACATATTTTGGTAAGATATTTCACAGTAGAAATTACATACAACAAAAGACCCCCATAACATCCAATGCCATCCCTCTCATACCCACTGAGATCAGAAGATGGACGTGAGATTAGTTGCCAGTAAGGATAATGAGAAACTTTTATTATTTATTATCTTATGCAATGGGCATTTTGCTTGTGTGTGTCTGTCTGTCTGTGTACCATGAACATGACTGGTGCCTAACGACACCAGAAGAGGGCTTTAATGCCCTAAAACTGTAGGTACACGTGGTTGTGAGCTGCCATGTGGGTGGTGGAAATTGAACCCCGGTCCTCTGGAAGAACAGTAGGTGCTCTTAACTGCTGAGCCATCTCTCCAGCCCTGTGACACATATTTGATTGGTTACTAACCATGTTTATTTAATAAGAGTTTGCTGAAGTGCCCCATAAGCAGAAAATTTCCCCCAAGCAGCAGAAGCCATTTATAGTACAGAGGGAAAGAGGAAGAATTTGATTATAGCTGAGACACAGTGATACCACAAGGGTGCTGACCGGCCTGCTGTACCACCCCACATGAAGAGGTGGTCAGCGGCTGCTGTGTGGGGAAGAACCAGTTTTCTCCATGGACGAGCTCCTCAATAATTTGTCCAATCCCAAGTGGTCAGCCCTGGATACGTGTACATGCAAGCAAACAGACCCGGTAGATTATAGATACATGTGCATAATGAAGTGATTATGAATCTGGGAGGTGGGACACGGGAGGAGGTGGAGAGGGGAGGAGGAGGAGTGTAGATACAGTATTTATAGATGACGTTCACAAAAAAGTTTTTCTGAGTAGTTCTTACTCAAAGTGACAAGGACCAGAAATGCTTCAGATTTTGCAGTTTTTCAGATTTTGTAATGTGCGCCTTCTTTGGAGGCAAGGCCCAGGTCTATACCAGAAATTCATTTATGTTTCACATGTACCACACACACACAGACTGAAGGCAATTTTACATAGTATTTTAGTGCATGTGCGTGTTCCCTGTGTCCCAGTCACACAGACTGTGAGGACTGTCTACCTGTGCCATCTTGCTGGTGCCCACCAGATTTTAGACTATGGAACACTTCAGATTTGTGATTTTCAGACAAGGATGCTTAACCTGTATTATAATGTATTCTACCAGAATGACGTATTTAATTTTTGGACTCTACTCATATCAAGCTTGAAATGAAGTTAGTTATACTTAGCTATCACCATTCACCGTTGTTAATAAATTCACCACGGTGGCTGTGTAGTTACTTTTAAATTGTTTTAGAAGTTTGCCCACATGTGTGTATGTGCGCCACATGCATGCCTGGTGCCTGTGGAAGCAAGAGAGGATGCAGCTACCGTGGACCAGAGTTGCAGATGGCTGTGAGCCACCATGTGGGTACTGGGACTTGAACCCTGGTCCTCTGGAAAAACAGCCAGCATTTATCCTGAGCCATCCCTCCAGCCCCCCGCCCCCACTCTGTAGTTTTGATCATTACCGGTTTTGTGCGGTGAATGTTTCTCTCTGAGGATGAAGATCACTGTAAACAACCCTGATGAGATCGTGCTGACATAATGCCCCTTCTGTTAAAGCCATGGATCCGATTGTTGAGGGCTACAAAAAATAAGAGAGAGCATGAGCTAATGTCTCCAAAATGAAGTAAAAATCTGTATTAAATTGTCTTTAATTGTTTAAATAAAATGTAGCTTTTCTCTGTTCAATGACATTTTATTCTTACTTTTGGAAATTATGTGTAGAAGACACATAAAATCTGAAATATAATGGAGTTACTCTGTATTTAGGAAAAAGAAAAGCTGCTGAAAACATTTAGTTTTGAAAGAAACACATTTATATTTGTTTATATTCCAGAACACATAACTACTTACATAAAATAAACAGTAGTGATGACTATGATTAAAAACCTCTTTAATATTTATACAATTGATTTCATGTTTTTCATGTTAGAATAACCACTTATTAATATCACTACTATCCACTTTATTTCATAACATAATACAAATAACGTGATTAAAATCTATTACTCAGAAATAGTCTTTGTTAAAATAAATGCTGGTCGAATAGGAGATATACTATTTCTAACAAGAACAAAGTCTCAGAGGAGGTAATTTAAAAAATTAATAGCTTCATTGAGTCACAAAACAGAATAATGTGTGTTGGAAATGGAATTTAATTTTTAGGAAAAACTTTTTTTTTTTTTTTTTTG